ACTTGTAAATGCTGAATAGTCATTGCATATAAAACTAATAATCCTCATTTCATTACTTGAGTCATTACATACAAAAATGTTGAACTAGTTGTCAAAATCTGTCAAGCAAATTTTATAAAACAAATTTAAATCTTTATTTTTCTGAAAATGTCTTTGAAATTGAACAATTTGATGAATGATTTACAGACCTGTGTATGTTGTAGGCTCAGTTCCATTATGTACTGCAATATTGTTTACAGTTGTGCACAGTTCAACCCAAAGGGAGTTAATGTTTGTTGTAAATAAGGGTGTGTTTATTATTTTGCACAATGCTGGGAATAAATTAGGATTGCAAAGAGCAAATGCAGTAAAAATGTAAAACATACATATTCAGTGTCTTGTACTCAGATAACTCACTCAATGCAATGATGTCTAACTTTGCTATAGTTTTCAAATGGCTGTGCAAATAGCATATATAGTGCTGTCTTGATCATTTTCAGGAAGTGTCTCCAAAATCAGACTTTTTTTGCATTGAAAAAATGTAGAGAGTAAACTGTCATAATGAAAACATCTTGTTCATAAACAAAGGTGTCAGGGCTTTTCATTTTGATGACACTGACACTTTGATTGACATGAATACTTGCTTTTGAGGAATGAACTATCCATTTTGAGCATGTGACGCGCTTTTGCAGGTTATCAGCTAGGTTTTGCAGTTTGTACTAATTGTTTTGAGAAATGCATTAACTGCTGTGCAGAAATGCACTAGTGTTGTGAGAAACGCACCAAAGCGACTGAGAAAAACTGTAAAAAAATGAACAGAGCTGTCATAATAAAAACATGACAGAGCCATTTGACTATCTTGATCACAAACAATGGTGTCAGGACTTTTTTATCTTTATGACACTGACACTTTCATTGACATAAATAATTGCTTTTGAGAAATGAGCTATCTATTTTGAGCATGTGACGCTCTTTGGTATAGGTTTTGCAGTTTGTACTAGTTGTTTTGAGAAATTCATTAACTGTTGTGCAGAAATGCACTAGTGTTGTGAGAAATGCACCAAAGCCACTGAAAAAACTTTAATATTTGGTTGCACTTTATTTTACAGCACCCAAACTTAATATGCAAGTACACAATAAATTATTTTCCCCAAACCAAAATCTGGCTAAAATGTAGACAAACCAAACCGTTGGGTCAAATATTTTAATTTAAAACGTAACTCAACAGTTGGGTTTGCCCATATTGGGAATTAATTTGTGTTCAAATAAAGTGTAAAATTTAGAATGTACATGGGTTATGTAAGGTATGCACATGGGCTAAGACTACAGTATGTTGAAGACTAATGCATTACCCATACTAGTTGATAAATTATAAGTATAGTACATTCTAAATAGGACTGTAAAAGTAAGTGCTACTAATATTACTGGAGATGATCAGTGATATTCACCTCATTAGTGACTGGAAATATTGTTTGGCTCATCAGTGCATTTAATTACAGTAATAAGATAAATAGTATAAACCCTGAATCTAACCTCATTATTTACTCACCCTTCACTTGTTACTCAAAAATGTTTGAATTTCTTCGGTTGAACATACAATAAATTTTGAAGAAAGAATTGTTTTGGTTTAACAAATTTTAAATAAACAGTTTGAATTTATTTAAGTCTAATTTGTGAATAAATATTCAATTTTGGGCAAACTATCCCTTTAAGTCCAAGTTACCTTACAGTGTATTACTCTGTGAATATATTAAATACTAAAAGCAATAAAAAAGCTTAATAGAGCTCAAATTGAAACTTTTGGATTTCTTAAATTAATAATAATTAATAATTTTTTAATTATTTAAATAAAATATTAAACCCAATTCATCATGGGTTTCTCCATACTTAACTAAAAATTGGACTGAAACAACCAGGCATTTTAAGTGCAGTTTATTTATAAACTTATTTCGAGAGATGCTCTTATAATTGTTCCATGGTCCCCCATTATCTCATGCTTGATTAATCAATCAGATGATTCCTAACTTATATATCTTTATTTTGAAGAATCCCCACATACCAACTCCTACTCCCTTACCCTTCCAGATGGATGACAATGCGGCCCAGGGATTAGCACTGTTGCTTTACAGCAAGAGTGTCTCCAGTTAAAGTCCCTTCTAAACCAGTTGACATTTCTTTGCAGAGTTTGCTTGTTCTCCCCATGCTCGCGTGGGTTTTCCCTGAGTTTTCCGGTTTCCTCCCACAGTTCAAAAACACAAAATCTAAGTAAATTAACTGTACCAAATCGATATCATAGCCAAGCTCTAAGTGAGTACACCTCTCCCCAGCCCTATCCGTCATTAGCCAGAAATAAGCCGGGAGGAGTTAATCAAGATCTACCTGAGCTCAAACTCGCCTCTCGCCCTGCAAACGGGAGGAAGACCAGGGCTTAAGGATCTCATAAGCTCAGGGCTCTCTCCTGGGGCTTCATTATCAGTCATCAGCTACGTGTTAACTCTTGATGTGTTTTTAAGAAACCTGAAGTAACAGTTTTGTCAAAACTTCTAAATTTAAGTAAAGTGCAATCAAATGCTACAGGTAATTGTTCACTCTTGCATTACATTTAATTATATTAACTAATGCAACCAAACACATTTCTCTGGATGTCACACAATTCGTTACTGAATAGGTTAATGTGGAATTGTATTTACATAAGAACAATTTGATAACTTTTTTATTTGGCATGAAAGACACTATATGTATTTTTTTGCAAGATGTTGCATATTCACAACCAAACCATAGTTTAATGATGCTGTGACTGAGTGTGGAATCATGGGAGTAGTCATCTTCAATACATCCTACAGGAATCGTGCAGAATTTATGCTCATGGACTTGCTAAAGTTTTATAACTTATTATCATGGTAGTGAAGCAGAGTAAGGCTGAAAGCCATTGAAGCAAAACCCAAGCGTTGAAGCATTTGCTGATGAGAGATGAGCATGACGTGACATAAAAGCAGTGGAGCTTTTATTACATCACAGTCTACTGCTTCCGGTTTGTGGTGACACAGCACTGTTTTATCACACTAAATACATTTTGAGATTTTGTTTTAAGGCTGCTATGTGCAGTCAAATAAAACATACAAACACATTAAAGTGTCTTTGGTGTTTACTTGTTTTCTATAAAACCAAACGGGAAATGGGTGACATCATTAGCATGGTGACTGCAGGAAAAAACTGTAGACAAAATAGTTTGTTTCTCTGGATTAGAACATTTCATATAATTTAAGTACATAAGTCAGCAAAATATACAACACTGTTCTAGTGGTTTTTGGATATTTGGATGAAAGAAATCCTATAGCGTCTTTAACTAATCTCAGAAAAATCATTATTCGCCTGTTAAAGCAGAAGCACCATAGTCATACTCTTGAAGGATGCCAAATCTAAATCGGGTTATGGCTCCATGCATGTTAATGGATTAGATCCTCTGGAAGACATCAGTTCCTGGGTTTCACAGCATCACACATCTTTATAGTGTATAATCAATACTGATGGTAATAGAGTGTCCCACTGAAATGAGTCTCAAATGTGAGTGTTCGATGACATAACGAAATGTAACGAATATGTATTAACTGTACAGTAAATGCAAAAGTGTGTGCGTGCATAGAGATTTTTCAATGCTGTGAACAAGATTCTGCTTTTAACAGTTGGCAGGTTACTTACTGCGGTTGTGGAAAGCAGAGGCTGGCCTTTTAAAGCCCAAACCCTACTGTCTCTTTTAGTATTTGTGTGTGTGTGTTTGTGTGTGTGTGTGTGTGAGTGTTTGTGTGTGTGTGTGTGTGTGTGTGTGTGTGTGTGTGTGTGTGTGTGTGTGTGTGTGTGTGTGTGTGTGTGAGGGAGAAAGAGCAGGCATCTGCAAAAACATCATGCTCATTCAAACGGATGAAATTTGAGATCTGCCCCACAGATTTTTAGGACAAGTAGATCTTGAATGTATCTTAACATGTACCTTAAATGTACATTGAATGTATCTTAAAAACAATGGAAGGCTTCTTTGTATCTAAATATTTGTGGCAGGAATCATGGTTCACGTGTATTTATTTAGTCAGTCAGTCAGTCCACTCAAGTTCTGCTGATCATTTGCTTTAAATTGAATAGTCTGTCATCATATACCCGTGTGATGATGACACATGTGTTTTCTCTCTCTCTTTCTTTCTTTTTCTTTCTTTACATCACTTCATGAAGCCATTCAGAACAGGTGCAATTTTGTTTTGTGCAAACAAACAAAAAACATACACCACCACCCCTAATCTCAGAGGAACACATATTTAAAACATCCATCTAGATGTCTTTTCTAACCAATAGAGATGCGAGTTACAATCATTATTGGTGTAATCTTGAAAGGATCACACAATTATAAAAAATTGTTTTTTATAGAGTTTGTTGTGTGTCTTTCTCTCTCTCTCTTTCTGTCTGTGTATGTGTGTGCTTGATTTCTCTGGTAAAGAGAACGAGAAAGGAAACATTTTGTGACAGGTTGGCTTGAGTCACCAACAATGAACAAATAGTACTTATTATAAGAAATTAAATAATTCTTTAATATTGTTTCATCCAAAAAGAAAATATTCAGATGAAATAACTTTACATTTAGACTTTTTGAAACATTGCATTTTAGTGAATTTCAACTGAGGTAGGCTACAAACATACAGTTTCACAGAAATAATCTTAATTTGTGTTTAGAAGATAAACAAAGTCTGATGATTTTTTAAGTAAACAAAATAGAATTTTCATTTTTAGAGAACTATTTTAACTAATAATAATTGATAAGGAGGAAGCAGAATAAAAAAATATAGTACCTCAAAAATGCTAATAATCCTTTCTTGATAGATAGATAGATAGATAGATAGATAGATAGATAGATAGATAGATAGATAGATAGATAGATAGATAGATAGATAGATAGATTTAGGTAAAGTGAATCATTTTAAATAAAACAATATATAGAGTACTTAATTGGGCAAAATTACCTGTTATCAACGCCTTTATCTCGCACGTAAAACGGCGCTGTCGGTCGGTCACGTGGTAATCTTGAAGCAATGTCCCATATGAGGATCTTCTCCGTTTCCTGCACTTCATCCGAAGACCACTCAGTCAGGGATACATACATTAAACAATAGTGTAAAAATATCTACTCAAGTATGTGAGTCTAAAAGGGAAAAAAAGGAGATCTGTGTGGAAAACTGAAAAGCAGAGGATCTGCATGTCAGTCCTTGCGGTTCATTCGCTTAAAAGTTCACGTGGAGCTGCTGACTACTGTCATTTATATCGGTGTTTTCGGGAAACATGTTTGCAAACGCAACAACGGTGTTTCTACCCTGGTAAAACATGTGTACTGCCTTGATGAATGGCTAAAGCGTGCTTCAAATGTAAGCGCGCGTAAACTGACTGGAGTCTGTGGACGGGCTCGCGCTTCCCTCGGCGGACTGGAATACATTGTATTAACGCGAGCAGAAAACATCTGTCGATGATTGGGAGAGGGCTGCTGAATACTGAGAGAGGAACAACAAAGCCTGGAGCATTGGCAATACGTCTCGTATAGCGTAAAACTCACGACAGCTCCCGTCCTGGACAGGACAGAGAGGACACTGGAGGCTGATAGTGGCCGTGGACTGGACATCACTGTGAACCTTCAGTCGGGACAGAAAGAGGGACGGAGTAATGGGTTCTACAATGGGATCAAACTGCCTTTTATACCTCTGTCTGCTTTGGCTGTGCGTGGCAAGTAAGAGGCTGTATAGCATTCTTGTTTTTAACTAATGCTAAAGCAAAATAGATTTGTCATTTTTGGGCATATTCAGAAACGGTAACATGAACACCGCATGCAATAGGCTACTTTTTATTACATTAGTGCTTTTCTTCCTCACTACCCCCCCCCCCCCTTCTCTCTTTCTCTCCCTCCCTCTCATCTAATGGACGCATGTGTCCATGTAGTACACGTGTAGTGAAAGACTTGTTGATTAACTTATTTATTTGTTATTCAATAAGCATGTCAAATACTATTGTCCATATTTCTGAAACTTCATTTAGGTGAAATGTTTTTTCCCTGTTTAAATTTCTCTGTTATTCGATGAGGACCTATTAAAGGGGTGCTCTCAAAGATTCACAAAGCTATCATCATCAGGCATTCACTTACCAAGTTGCATAAGACCCCCGAATCAGTAGAGGGCCCCCTTGTTCTCAAAGGTGATTTAATTAGTGCTGTGTGTGTACAAATAACAGATGTTTAGTTCTTTTCCATTATTATATAAGAACTCAATGCTGTTTTGGATTTCTTTTTTTGTCCAAGCAGTGTGTTGTTTTATTTTCTACATCACATCTCCATCAGTAAAATCCGTTTTCAGATAACTTTTGACACTCAATCATAAACCAGAAAAAAACCCCTCGAGATGCATCTCATTTCAGAGGGTACATCCCATGAAGGAATAATTTGAAAGCTGTTTCCTTCAGATCATCTGCAGCTTCGAAAATCCCAAGATTCATTACACGCTGATAATGGAAATGCGCTTTTGAAAGAAATGTCCGGATTATGGTTTAAAATTAGGTTTTAGTTTTCTTCGCTGTCTAACTATAAAACAAAAAAGAAATCTGGAATGAAACACTGCAGTGTTGCTCTTTGGCCCCGTTCACATCTATTATTAAGATTATTAAGGTATTAAGTTGTTTTCCATAATCCAATCACAAGTGGACAAAACTAAGTACAGCTGTGAATGGCGTGAAAATAGTTTTGAGTTTGTCCACCATTGACCACATCCAGAGCTGTTTGAATATGCATTTTACAGTATCGTTATTGTTGTGTGGATGAACATTTGAGCTGCTAAATCCTGCCTTTTCTCCACCTGCTGAACTCATTCATAAACCAAGTGAGACACAGGGTGTCCACTGGGTCTTAAAAAGTTTTAAAATGTCTTAAATTTCCAAAACAATATTTTAGTCCCTAAAAAGTCTTAAATTTACTGAAATATTGTGTTGTAGGTCTTAAATAGTTTTAAACAATTCTTAAAGCTGCAGTAAGTGATTGCCTTCAGAAACATTTTTTTGTTGTGCTGGTTGAAAGTCTCTTAACAGTCCAATAGTAATGATTACAGTAAATGATCTTAATGTGTTTATATGTATTTTTTTATTCTGGGTAAGGCATAAAACAAAAAAATGTTCATCCAATTAAATAGAGTCGGACCGACATCTCCCATAATTCTGATAAGCAGCTCAGTCTGTCTGTCAGCAAATGTAGATTCGGACTTCTGCGCATCTGTTCACGCAGATCCGCCATTCGCGCAAGCGGCCGCGTGGTCACGAGATATAACTTATATGAACAGATGTGTTGTTCAGCCACTGAAATCTCCCGGTGAAAAATTGATGTGATTATTTTCAGTTTCATAAGGTCCTTTTACTGCATCAATAATGTAGATTTATATTTAGTTTAACAACAAAACATCAGTAAATAGCGCTATTCTGCCTAACCTGCTTTTATATTTTTTTTATATTCACATTGGGTCATTTTTGAACAATGACAGCCTTCCTATACTGTTTACCATGCTACTCTGAATATTCGCTCTGAAATAGCATGTTAGTGTGGCTAAGTAATAAATGTAATTCCTGCATGGCACTGGCACTAACTAACTGGCGAATGACATGAACTAGTGGGTTGTCTGTCTGCTGTTGTGACGTGGTGCGCGCTCGCGATTTCAGGGGGTGTGGCTTTGAATCACAGTCCCTCCCCGCTGTCCAAAGAAAATATGTTATGCAGTTAGGATTTTGGCAGATCACCTACTGCACCTTTAAATTTCCTCTGCCCAAGTAAAGCTACCCAATCGAGCCGACATCAATCCAATCACCAACAGTCCATCTCAATAAAACATTTTTTAAAAAGTGTTTTTATTGCAAAGAGATACAGACAATTCTCTAAATTAAAATCCATAAACTATAAACAGTTACACAATTACTCATGATAATAACAGAGCAACATATGCCTTTTCACGCTCTTCAACTTCAACAAGAAGTAAGGGGCGGTGGACATAATGTTCATAAATAGAAATGTGAAACTTAAGGTCTTCTTGTTTTGACACATTTAAATATATGGCTAAGACATAACTACATTTGATTTTTGTGGAAATCAAAAAAAAAATTCCATTGACCCAACTGGTCCATTATCAAAAATCCTTACTGTTTAGCCATGTATAAGTCTTAAATTTTATTTATAATGGTCTTAAATGGGTATGAAAAAGTCTTAAAGTTAACTTGATGAAACCTGCAGAAACCATCGAGACAAATTTAAACTTAGTTGTTGATAACCTTAGATTTTGTATTGGTGACAAAAAAGTAAAGTAGAATGTTCTCATACCGATCCCAATATGTTTAATTTTTTTCATTTACAATTAGGGATGCTCATTTTGGTTAATTTTGCTAACCGACAACTGCTGCTCATTAATCGGTTATTAATGGTTAACTGGTCAGATTACTATTAATTTTATATTAATAGTCGTGGGTGCTTCAGTTTACAGTACAGTCAGTACAGTCCAAAGACATGGTCTGTAGAGGAATTAGGTAACCTGAATTGTCCATAGTGTATGTGTTTATGGTCTGGTTCTCCAGGTTAGGAGTTGAGTGTTGGGCTAACGACCCACCTCGTAAAAAATAGAAGTTACAAAACACCAACAAGGTGTGACTAAATATCAACATCGATATAAACGACCTCAGGAGTCAGTAAAAAAAAAAAAAATATATATATATGCATGTTAAAACCATTAAAAAGGACTAAAGTCTGTATTAGGAGTTCATTGGAAATAAAAGAAGTCAATTATATTTTCAGTAGTCAAAGCATAAAGTAGTCTATTCATCAAAGTATGTTTAATTGATTGAGGTATAATTTGTATTTGAATTGCGCTAGCTTTTGCAGTATTAGATTGAAAGATTATAGCAAGTCAATACCTGCCCTCTGAAAGTGGACAAAAGAGGCACATTTAAATTCCAGGTACGAATCATAATGTGTCTCCTTTGTCCACTTGTGATCGGTCATCAAAAACATATCTTAATACCAGATGTTTGATTCACAAATGTTCTGGTTTTGCTTTTCTCTTTGGCAAACCAGAAAGAAAACAGTATTGTGTCTGCACTATAACTCAGAAACTATAACGCAAAACCAATTTCTTTGTTTTAAAAACCGATATCATATTTAGGGATGTCCAGATCCGATTACATTAGGGATGTAACGGTATCAGAATTTCACGGTACGGTAATACCTCGGTATGAATGTCACGGTACGGTATTTATTGAATCATTTACAGGAAAAAACAAAACTTATGAAAATACTCCAAAAAAGTGCCAAAAGTGTCAATGACATACAAATTAGCCATCTATCTGTACGCTTTGAAACAGGAACTTCAATTTTAATAACAAAAAATTATTAAACCATGTAAAAAAATAAAGTTTCAATTTAGTATTGTTGAAAACTCATCACATTCAACATTTATTCACACTCAGCCCATCTACCCAGATGAGAGCTCTGCTAGTCGGACTTCTCATCAAGCATCTCCCGCTGGATCTAATCTCACTATATTTATTAAACGGGATATTTCATTTATCTTGTTGTCTTTATCTAACGACATATTCCCTGACTTTGGTCATTAGAATCTATTACTTGTTCTCAGGTAACGTGTTTTGGCTGAGCGCAAAGATAAGTTAATGATTAATGTAACCACGTACATTCTGTATATTGACTGATCGCTTGCCTTTATTTCCTATAATGTATAAACTTATTGTATGTTATACTTTTAAAATGGCCATTATCGATTCTTAAAACTGATACTCAGCAAAAGAGAGGCTGTGTTTCGTATTTTCACTGAAATTGAAAGGAGGCAGTGTTTTTATCGGCTCCGTTTTGTTATAAATATCCACACAGTGAAAATGACGCTCATCTTATGCAGCACGACGCCTCAACATTTCTGCTGTCTAAGTTGCTAATATTAAAATGAAAATAGGCAGTTCCTTAAATCATGTTTACATTTTATTGTTGAGAAAGTGAAACAACGAAGCCAGGGTGATGTGAATGAAGTTATAAAGTACACTGTTCCCTTTGAAGATTTACCCGTGTCCTCGGTATAATCTGCTTTTCCATATCAAACTGAAAAGAAGAGACTGCAGCCTTGATCAAACTTGCGAAGTCTGAACTTACACGGAGAAGATGCAGGACTGAACTGTGCGTGTTAGGCTACTTAATATTCAGGAAAAGCCCCAATCAGAGAGGCGAACGTCTGCAGCCCCGCCTCCGTTTTCAGATGTACATGACAGTTTCTAAGTATCACACACCAGACGCGCACATTCGAATGATATTTAACATGAAACTAATCAGATGGCGCTCTGTGGCGCGGCTGAAAAATGAACTGCGTCCTGAGCCGTCGCCGGGCGCCGCCGACAGCCGCCGACTTGCGGCGCCGGTGTGTGTATCCTGATAGAAACCTATGTTTAGAATTCTAAAATACATGGCGCTGCGTGGCGCTGCGTGGCGCTGCGTGGCGCTGCGCGGCGCGCCGCCGAGCGCCGCTTCTGGTGTGCGACCTGCTTTAGAGTTTTCCAGCTCTTTTCATCCCCGCTTCTAGCAGCACACTCCATTTCCGCATTACTGGATCTGTAGCGACAACAGACCGCAAGGGATGATGGTCAAGCATGGGCTGATGGCAATTGTAGTTTTCGCTACATCCCGTTCGCTTCATTCGCCTGAGCAAATTT